GGAAGGAAGGAAGGAAGGAAGGAAGGAAGGAAGGAAGGAAGGAAGGAAGGAAGGAAGGAAGGACAAACCTGAAGTTCAGACTTCGCTTATATGGGATACTAAAATTTGAAAACAAAAACTGCCCCAATTTAGGAATGACCCAGGAAGGCAGCATCAGGACTCTTCTGAGGGAGTGTTAAAGACACAGCAGTCTTCACTCAATAGCCCTTTACCCCAGACTCAGAAAAAGTAATTTAACTGCCTGCTGTTTCCTAGAGAGGGCACTGCTCTAATGAAAGATCAACATGAATCTCAGTGTACCCCCATGAAAGCCACACTCACAGAAAGGCACTGTCTACAGAACAAAGGAAGCTTCTGACCTTCAGTCTGTCAATGAGTCCGCCACTAGTAAGGCTGGGGCTGAGAGGAAAAATAAGAAGGAATTGCTCAGATTCTTGTGGCTCTGTGCACCCCTCTAGAGTGGGGAGACTTATGTGACTGAAGAGCTGAAGGCTAGTAGACCTGAGGTGATGTCTGGGACACTGGCCCTTGAAAGATGAGGAGGACCCACACAGACAGTGGTGTGAAAGGTGCCCAAACATGGCAGGTGGTATGAAGCACATTCTTGTATTGTTTTCCCAAATATTTATCAGCCTCTATTTTGTGTGAGCACTGGCCAAGCATGGAGTGAAAAAGGAGATAGAAGTTTAATCTAGTCCCTGCAACTCTCCTTGGCAGTAAGGAAGAACATGAACTTTGGATTTGAGCACTTAAGTAAATGTTTATATTCTGGAGATAATTAAGCAAGACATGTCCAGTATTATGGTTCAGACTTTGGCCCATTGAATGGCTCCAATAGCTGAGCTTTAATCCCCTTCTCCTTTGCCAGGGACTAGGTCTCAGGCTTCACATACACAGTTCCCAAGAAGTAGAGGTAGAGCATCTAATGGTCAATTTTCATGAAAAGAAAAATATTGAACCAGGAGTCATATACCTGATCAGCAATGCTGACCACACACAACTGGTGACACAGCCTCAGGTCTGTCAGGTCTAGGATGTTATTCCCTGTGTGTTCCCTGTCCCCTGATTGTGAGCTCTCCTTCTTTGGGGAGAAGCCTATGTCAGTTGGTAAAACGAGCCATTTCCACTATGATTCCATCCCAGACATAGTTATAAAATGACACCAAGAAAGATGGGCCAGGGGCCTGCCCATTAGCTCAGGTGTTTAAGTGCCTGCTTAAGCGAAGGCAGTAAGGCTCAGGATACTGTGGTTCAATCCCCAGATCCTCATGCCTTAGCAGACCTGCCCTTAAGGCATCCTGAGCCAGCAAAAAAAAAAAAAAGAAAGAGAGAGAGAGAGAGAGAGAGAGAGAGAGAGAGAGAGAGAGAGAGAAAAGAAAGAAGGAAGGAAGAAAGAAAGGAAAGAAAAAATCCTTCAAGAGATACAAAGGAAAGATCATTTTGTATTTATATATACAAAATAGTTAGGATAAATTTACAGCTACTTTCGCTTAACTCAATGAGAAGAAAGAGATGTACTAACAGTGTCCAGAAAGAATATCCTGTCTGCTTCTTGTACTATGGATAACCACTAAGAAGATAACAATGTACAGTGCATTGACTATCAAAACTGTCCTATTAATCAGCTGTGGAAAAAAAATTGATCTCATAAAAAAAAAGAAAAATCCTTCAAGAAAGATGGGCCTTGGTTCTGGGGTTGAAAAGCCAGAAGCATATTTGGTTGGTCCCACAGTGACTGGGTAGCACTTGTGTCACATGGTTCTGTATAACCATTCCAAAATATTGCTTTGTTCTGTCCACTGCATCTTCTGTATGTCCCACAGTCACTGTCACTTAACATCCTGTCTTCAACCTCCATGGATTTCTGAAGAGCTTCCCAGTTGGCCTCTCTTTCCTTCCCAGCACATACAAACATGGCCAGGTATTTCAGAGCTATTTAAAAGGCTCCCAATAAATAACTCCAGGATCAGATCCATGATCCTCAGTATAGCTGCCACAGCCCTTCGGCCCCTCACTCTCTCTCTACCTTCAGTCCCTTTCACATTTTTTCATGACCAAGGTATGTTGTGCTCATTATGCAACTAACTGCAGTGCTATTAGTTCTCCTAACAATCTGTGAAAGAATAATCATTATGCTTTTTAAACAAATAAACCATAGGTTACAGGCTTATGTCACACAATTGTAAGGACTGCTAGAATCCTATGGAAAAGCACCCAATCCTATGTTGGTCTCCAAATGTAACCATGCTCTTCCTTCTCTGTGAAACATCTGCCATCATTCCCTTTTGGTGCACTCCAGTTCATCCTGCAAAACTCACTAAGGCATTTATCTTCACCTCTTTGTGCAGTATTGACTCTAGTCTCCCAAACTCTTCCCTTTCGGGCCCTCATCTCTCCCACAGTGCCTCTCCTCACTTCTTTCCAGAATGAAGTCTACTGAGCCTTTGTGACAGCAAAATTAAGTTTCTCTACTGTTTACTGTTGCTTGGTTTTGGACACTTGCCCCTCTTGCACAACTCCTGCGTGATACTGTGTTTGCTTTCAGATCTGCCCTTATCTCAGCCCTGCATCCTACTAGGTAAGTAGGGCAAAGTAGAGTACAACTATGTGGAGCAACATCTATCTAAAAGGAGTTGTGATAATCTAGCAATGTTCCTCTGAAATCAGGGTGTGCACAATAGAGGAATCAGCCTATAGTATTTTGTAAACAGAATCCTTACTATTCTTCAGCATGACTGTACCTGGCTTTTAACAAGTGGTTTCCAGAGGAGATTAGCCTTCCTGCAGATTTCTTCATAGGCTGTATTGGCGACTCTACAATCTTTGCCCACATCAAGTACTTACTTAGGGAATGGAATGTGAACTTTCAGACACGGGTTGAATCTACATTTCATTCTAGCCTCATAAAAATTTGGACCACTCTTAGCTAAGGAAGTTTTAGGGTACAAGTAGCAAATCTAGGGCACCTGTGCCCCAGGTGAAGTTTGCATTATTGAAAACTATGAAAGGTTGGCCTTCACTGTTTTATGAGACTCACAAGAGGATTAGGAATGCCCCCCTACATTACAGACCAGATCACATCCTGGATTCTAAGATTGCTCTGATGCTTGTTTGTACTGTGCTCCAACCCCCAGCCACCTCTCACTGCTTCTAGCTGTATGGCCTCAGACCCTGAGCCCCATGGTCTATAAGCCAAAAGCTAGTCAGAGACCTTAGATCCACTTGCCCCACTCAACATCTGGCTTGCACCCTGGAACTTACAGATGCGGAAGTACTCCTCTCCATAGCTCTCTCGGGTCTCCTGAGGCAGCCGCTCCCACAGCTTTTCCATTATTGCATTAATGCGCTCCACGCCCGCAATGGATGTCTTGTAGTTCCCTGGCTCAATGATGCTGACCTTCACCCCAAAGTAGTGCATCTCACGCCTAGGAAAAGAAGAGTTATATTTTCGTCTAGGCCTCAAGATGACAATGTCAAGGAAAGTCACTTCAGGAGGGAACTGTCTCTCCAGGAACACCTGGAGGCACACCCCCTAAACCCTGGCAGCTGGCCCAGGCATTTCTTTTTTTTTTTTTTTTTTTTTTCTTTCCCTTTTTTTCTTACTATCCTACAGCTAAAA